GACAGTGAAGTTAAGAAACTTGGGTTTGTTTTTTTTCCTTCCCTTCAAATGTTTGACCACAGAGCTTTACTCTCAGTGATAAGCAAGCAATACTTTCAAAATCAATCAAAAAATTTCAGCAAAAAGGTAAAGCCCGATGCTTGCACACGAACACGCAGAGAACAATTTACAAATATTAAAGATTGTAACACGTGAAGGGAAGCCAAGTGCCTCATTAACTGTTCCTTGACATAAACTGAAGGGTCCCCATTTGCTGTCTTTTAGTAGCCCTAACTTGGATTTACTAAATGGTAAACTGAATTTGTTCCTCTAGTGTGCATACCCCTCCCACCATTTGAATGTAGCTACACAAGCAACCAATTCAACACAACTGAGGTGACAAACTTCCAGGGTGGGCAGGATGGGAATGGGTGGGGAACGTCCTCAAGCAGATCAGCCAGTGAACAAGAACTTTCTTCATCTGCAACAGATTTGCTTTAGTTTTTTTCCTATCCTCAGGGCTTGTTCCTGTCTCTTGCCAGAGATTTCCATTCCCCAGTTTTGCTGGATGCCAAATCACTTAATACAGTAATAATCTTTTAATTAAGGAAGTAGAAACCTCTGTTTCAGGTGGTATGCTGGGAGGAATGGGCAGGGACACAGATGGACAATATCTTGCCTCTCAAAAATCAAGTGTTTACATTTTACACTGTATAACCTCATCAAAGAGAAAAATATAAAATGAAAGTGAACTATATATGAAAGTGAAAGCCTTATGTCACACTCAGTAAGAACTTGGGACTGGACACACAGATGACTTTGTTCTAATGAAAAATGACATAAGCTATCTCAAATCACAGGATCCATCTTACTGACTGAACAGTGTTACACATGAGCCAGAAGCATGGAGTCTTCATTAGTGAACACTCAAAGAGGTCTGCAGATAAATCAACAGACCAAACAGAAATGAATGCTAGGGCTTGATGCAGTCGGGCATAGAAAAAGAAGGAGATATGCCATCCAGCATGCTAAAAATTGTCTTGACCACAGGACCTTGCTGTAACCTCACTACTTGCAAATGGTGCATCTGAGACGCATAATCCCCCAATACAAGTGCAATCTTAAAAGTGACATGCTTTGTGTTATAAAAGTTATTTTGTAATGAGTTACAGACAGTTATAGCTTTTCATACTTACTTGTAATTGTCATCTTCTACAAACTTTTGTAGTTCTTCTATGTACTGAACTGAGTTTAGATATTTTTGGACATGAGGCAACAGAGGAATATCTGGAGAACAGATGACATTCATTGTCACTGTACCATTCATTGGTAAGCAAAGTTATTTTCCAGAAACTATTTAAACAGAATCAGATCTCTTGCCTTTTTATGTGAGACGGAGGTACAAACTACAGTCCCTACTGATGTTGAAATTTTTGTCCTTCATAGCAATTCTCATGTGTTGAGCTGACGTTCCCCACATCCATAAAGCCAGCCATCTATCCCCCTAGAGCTGCTCTGCTTATCAGAGCACGTATCAGGGAAAAGTGAGAGTGCGCCCCTGCTCAAACTGAAGTCCCAAACCTGGAACCTGAAGGGTTGTATCTGAGGACTCCTTCACAGCCTACATTCTTATTGTACTGAGCTTTCAGTGAAGCCACAATCCTGTGCTAATTCACATTCCACCATCAAAAACGCAGCCTTACAACTTACTAGAACTTTAAGAGGATTGTGAGGGAGACCACCTTTGAAGAAAAAATACATTATCTGATCTATGAACAGAATTATAAATGCCCAAAAGACAAGCTGAACGTATTTTATTATCTCCAGTAAAAGTACTACTCCAAAAGCAATCCTACTATTTTTAGAATTCAGAGTCATAAAATTATGAAACACAGGGATACAAGTTTATAACGTACTAGTAAAACTACTGTTAAGTACAATGTATTCCACATTTTTCATCAGAAAATACATGCTACAAAAGTGTGTGTGATGTAAGAAAAGGGCAATTTAATTCTGTCTCTTCATGCTGATGCTCTGTCATAACCACCAATACCAGAATAAACTTAGACTTTTGGGCTGGCCTTACTTACATTGCATTACAGAAGACAAATATTAAAGCTTTTAAAGTTGTTCGCTTTAATACTGCAATATTTACACACCAGCTTACCATATTCACATGACTGCTGTAAATCTGAGATAATTCGAAGAATGTTGTTCATTAAATTTGTTCTTTGCTCGCTTTCCAGAATGCTCCCTGTTGATGGGTAGGCAGAGTCAATATACGTCAAGTCTGACAGATAAATACCTGGATAAGATTAGAAAAAAAAGTTTCTTTAGTGTCTCCCATTTAGCAAAAAAACTCAGAAACAGTATTTTGAAGAATGTTTGCTTTCATTGACTAACGTGCATGCAGGTTGACAACAGCATTGCCTCAGAATATTATTTTGGATTTACCTGAGAAATCATTTCAACAAGACCTCCAAGAGCCTTCAGACCTCAGACTAAAACAGTAATAATGCTTGGACTTAGAGGAAAGTACATCACCATGCCACCCTTGTCTGGGATTGAATCTGCACTCTCCTCATTCACTTAATCCTTAGCTTTGTCAACCTTATCTCAGCTGTGTTCACAGATGCTGAGGGTACGAGTACAGCTAGGTTTCTGCGTGCAAGCTTTCATCCTCTGCACGACAAATCACAGTGGGAGGCATCACACTAGGCATGTACTAGCTGACTTTAACAGTGTCATTATTTCTAAATCTAAAAGTAATTACAAGGACATGCACAACTACTCATGAACCTAATCTTCCGCCATATCACCAATTAATTATTCCCTTGACAAACATGAAGCATACTAAACACACAATGCTAAAATACATGATAAAAATTATTAATGATAAATAATGATCATAAATAATGATCATAAATAATGATTAATGATAAATAATTATTAATGATAAATAATTAATTAATACATGATAAAAATTATTATTAAGGCAGTCTACTACTTCATTCTTCCTATTCAGCAATTAAAAAAAAATAACAGAAGGAAAAAAAATCATATTATCTATAACTCTTCAAGCTGAATAGAAACTCAAACTCAACTTTCAGCAACATGAGAAAAGTTAACTAGGCAAAAAGTGCACTCAGAATGAAATGCAGTATGAATCCTGCAGTTCATATTAATCACAACTCCAAAGATCCAACAGCCTTAGAGATAAGTCTCTTCAAGTCTTCTACCTGCTTTCTTCCCCACCACCATTGTAACCTTACTAGTCTTTCAATCCTTTGATCACGTAGAAAGCAAAATCATCCTCCTTACATACTAATGCTGTAGATAAACCGCTTATTTTAATTCAACTCAATTTCTTGAACTTCACCCAAAGACTAATCATTTTTGTCTTGACTAAATGAAACATATCCTGACCAACTCTGCTATTAAAAGGAATTGCTCTTCATCCCCTGCATCTTCCACAAGATAGCCAAATAAAAGAAATATACAAACTTAAAAAATACTTTTAAGAAACGTATTTCAGTAACAGAGAATTTCTAAAATTATATTTTGGTTCACTCTCAGCCTTGTATAACCAGAATTATAACAAGAAGTTTGGCTTTACAGGTGGAAGACTATTAATACAACCTCACAAGAACAGCAGTTGTGTTTGTATAGCACCTAACCAGTACAGTCCTCAAATGTGAGTTGGGAAACTCTGGGCATCACTCCAAAATCAACACATACACGCGCGTGTGTGCACACACACAGAAACAAATTAAAATACTTGTGGTTGAAAGGTGACATGTAAAAAAGTGAATAAAAAGGTATTACACATGACCTGATATACTACTACATTTCTCAATTCTCTATTCTGCTAGAATCAGTTTATTAAAAAATAGAAAGGATAATCAGAAACATCAGATAGCATAGCAATATAAATATGACTATCTAGACTGCATAAGCTATCCTGAACCTAACTTTGCTAAGCAATGTCCAAACAGGCCTTAAAAATCCCAAGCCTCCTCAGTCTTCCACAGAAAGAAGTAAATCATGCTTACTAATTATAATTAAGGAAATTCACTATGAACAGGCACCTGCAATATTATGCATGATTTTATAAACCAATGCATTTGTAGGATTATCTTTCTGAATGACTTGCTCAGTTAAGCACTGATTTTTTTTCTTCTAGCTAAATCAAGAGCTCTTCTGTAGAGAGCTGTTCTCTAAACTTATTCAATGCATTTCTATGAAGTCTAACATAATTTTGAAAGCATAATAGAGTAATTCTCTTTCAAATGTAACTGTAAATGTTCCTTTGTGAAGAAACCAAAAAGATCAATGAAAGCAAACTGAATGCACTTAAGTGCTAGCTGACTATTGACAGAACTAAAACCAGTATTCTGCATTCCTCACAGGGCATAATCTCTGTGGCTTTTGCTACTTCCAACACCAGTCAGATGTTATCAAATATTCTGATACCTACCCAAAACCATCACACACACAGTTTTAACATTTTCCACATGTATCGGAGACTTCATGTGTTTAACAACTGGAACTGTTTCTTATTAAGTGAATGTCAAGAATTGAACGCGACATTCTGTTGAACATTCTTCTACACTATAAATGGTTCATTTTTCCTGTTGTATCCAGCCAGGCTGCCCCTTTTATTCCCAGCAACACAAATCGAGTTTTATCAGCCTGAAAGAATCTTTCTTCTAAATGAAGCCCAGTACTGTAACAACTTGAAAGGCATCTTTAGGCAGCGTAGTAAAAATGTTTGATTTGTAATTGCCTGCTGAACTCTTGCACAGTCTGTTGCCATATGGTACCCTCCCTTCTACTGGCAAACAATCTTTCCTTGTTCATAACTTCTCAGCCTCCCTACCCCCTCCTTTTCTGGAGGGTATGGATAGGAAATCCGAAGGAGGAGTTTCTTCTGCTCTCAGTGTGTTCGTGGTGACATCATAGGTGGGCTGAACGTCTAAGTCGAGTGTGTGTTTGTTTAAAAAAAACTGTCCAAAAGTGATGTATATGGAATCTGGGTCAGCTGTAGCTGGTTAGTGCACTTCTGCATGGGAGAGTAAAACAGTGTAGTTTCAAAAAACATTTCTCTCTCTCTTCTGGAATAAAACTTCCTGGAACATTACTTTTTTCTTTTTTTCTTTTTTTTTTTTTTAATGATTAGTTAAGCTTGGTTATCGTATGGAGAAACCCAATTCCTCAATACAGCTTGGATCTAATAGAGAAAGACAAAAGCAGTTTTCAACTCCAACTGCAGATTAACAATCCACAGCATCGGGTAATATAGGAAGAAAAAGCAGCTTGGCCTCTTTTTCCATCTACCACAGAAGCAAAACAGCTGGAAGATTTTTTTTTTCTTGGTAAGTTTTAAAGTTATTCTTACTTGCAAGTCTAGTTTTGAGCTATTTGCAAATTCTACATACATCTACCATCCACATACTGTGAACAGACAAATCTCTCTCAGCCTGAGAAAAGTTTGACAACTAAAATATAAAACTCACTTTTGTGGCATTTGGTAGACTTTGGAAACTTGGAAAGAATTAAAAAGGACTCTGCACTAGAGCAGAGACTAACTCATTCCAGTTGTGAGGATGAACAAGTTTCAGTTGTTTAGCTGTAAATCTTCTGTAGGTTTTGTTATATACAGTTACAGAAAATTAGTACTACCAGATTCTTTGCTAAGCATGTAATTTGAGTATTGTGAACATATTAATGTGAAATTCTGATCGTACCAAAAAGCAAAAGCTGAAAATCCTATCGAGTTCAGGAAAGCTGGATTTCACCCAATGCCAGAGCATAGACCTAGCATTACTAGAACTAGAAAATGGATACCTCAATAAAACCACTGTAAAAAATCCCAAGCAAATCAATGCACATCTGTAAGTAGCAATCATTGTATATCATTTCAACTACATTTTTATATATGGTACATCTGAGCAGTAGAAGTAGCCCAAGCTGTACAACCACCAAGAAACTCGAGTCATACACTGATTCAGAATATAATCAAGTTTGTAGCACAAACAATAGTGCAGCTGAAAATCCAAAGGCATTGCTGCAACAGGCACTAATCCCTTCCTTTAACAATTTGTGGAACGATGGGGAAGTTAATTGTACCTCAATTAAGCAGCAGTTTGTTTCTAAATAAAGGTTCATTTCATAAACATGAAATGCAACATACAAGGCAACACTATATTAAGCAGAAAATAGAGGGGTTTGTTACAGTTGTTCTTTGGGGGGTGGGGGAGGGGGAAGGATGCAGTTGCAAGTCAAGGATTAAAGCAAGAAAGCTGTTTACAAACAGAAGACAAAAGTACAGATAAAAACCAAAAAAAGAGTTGCTAATACTAATTTTCTACTTTTTGCCTTTCTTCATGCTGACTTGGAAATTAAAATACAGTAAACAATCCAGAACAATGGAAAAGAATTTAAGTGACGTATTTGTATTAACAAACTCTCAGAAATGTCTGGCACATTAAGAGAGAATGAAGGGGGTGATGCTAAAAGAAGAGACAAAGTGTTACAGAAAGCAAACTTAATAAAGGTTAAGTAGCTATGGGAGGAAAAAAAGTCTGAAGCAGCCTTGACAAAAAAAGAAAGATGGATCCTTTCCAATTTATTGAGCCCTTTTTCTTACTATCCTTTTGTGCTTCTTTACATATTAAAGAGAACAACCTAAACAACAAAAAAACCCATTTGAAGCCTACATTGTGTGCTTTGGACACCAGTCCATTCATTCATGATTAGCCAAGGTTTTGATTTACATGGCTTAGAACAATTCCTAAATCTTTCACAAATGAAAACAGCTGAGTAAATAATTTTAAAGCAATAAACTGGCTATATGCAAGGTTTTACCTCTCTCTTTTTTGCTGTCTTCCAACTTTAGAGTTCAAATTTTGAAATGCTTATTTTAAACAAATAATGGACTACTAATATTACGCTGGTGCCACAAGAATGATCTGATGTATGATGGAAAAATATGTCATTTAAAATTTTACAGGAATTCACTTCAGAGAGTGGAAATTCTGAATCTTTAAACTTCTGCCAGTATATACATAGCTTTATCAGGTTTTCATTATTGTATTACTGGGCTTAGTTTGTTGTTTGTAACATGCCCTATTAGTCTGGTCCTTAAAATTTATACACCAATGAATGAAATAAAACTTCCTATAGCAAACATCACTAGATGCTTCATGTCTTCAGCATCTGTTTTAGAGAATTCTGGAGCCCCTAAATAACACATTTCCAAACACAAAATGCACCACTCCGTTGTACCTGCCTGTTAAAATGGTGCAAACACACACAATGGCTGCAAACAAATGTAAAGGAACCCTCACAAAAAAAAAGTCACCAAAAAATCTGGAAATATTATGATATTTTGCTGTGTTTTCAGAATATCTAGTAGGACAAGATTTAGAAATCTATTCTGCAGAGAATTTCTAAGAATCTATAATTTTTAGAAGTGACACATTTCCAGTGACTACTTCAAAAACCCCTGAAGATTTTTAAATTGCTTTTTCTAGAAGGAATCAGATTCCCCTTAGTCTCAGAGAAGTAGCATTCTGTGACTCAATACATCACGTATTCGACTAACAAAAACCAAGAACGTATTATTCCTGGATCCCAGTCAATACAATTGAAAGTAATCCTGTTATTTCGGCAAAGGCAGAGTGACTTACCAGAAAAGCACTTGTTTATATAGGGGAAAGTAACTTACAGAAGTACACAGATACATCAAAAATCCATGTGAACATTTCTCCTATAATAAGAGTGTTTTCCTCACAGCAGTATGCTTCTAATGCTACGGACCCAATTTTAAGATTAAAAAACCACAAAAATCTCCACTTATTCTGAGATAGGAGAATATAGATGGTTTTATTGATTTTAGCTGCTTGGACAAAGCTTAACAGAAAACGAAGTATGCGTAACATCAATAATAGAGCTTTCAGATTAACTGGTATCATGTTCAGAGGATCTTTATTCTCAGTATTATCATTTACCTTCTCAAAAAAACTGTCTATTTCTCTTCCTGGTTTACATGTTTATAAATGGAAGTTAATAAGAGAGCACCATTGGTATTTATCATTTGACCATATTCTTTTAATAAATATTCTGAATAAAGATATGTACTGATACTGCACTTTCCATACAAAGGGAATCCTATATTCACATTTACCTGCAACACTTCCCTTACATTCAGTCATAACAACCTACACTACCCATGGAGAAGCAGTCTTCATCAGCTCTGAAAGAAGAGATTCTAATTTGCGTTGTGGGTCTCCAAATTCTACATCCTGCTGAACGTGAGAGTCACAGCAGTACAACAAAGAATAGTTTGCTGTGTATTAAGTTAAAAAATGCCAAATATATACTAGCTTCCACACTTCCTCATCCCTGCAACTTTAATATTTGTAAGCGATACAATATTTTTTGGGGTAACACAGACAATGTTATAGTAGTTTCTCAGTGAAAGTTAAAAATACTAGTTACGGGTTTCTTTTGCTCTTTTAAATTGGAATTTTTTTCCTTTAAACACTTTTAAAAGTAATAAATCAAAGACTAATTTTGGAAACAAGTTTTTTTTTTCATGGGGATCAGTCTGGAAAAAGAAAGAAACCAGAAGAAAAGGAATGGCATTAAATGTAAAATGGTATTGAAGCCCTATTCACAGCTCTGAGTGTTTCTGACAAGATGATGATGAAGTTTGTGTTGCTATGAATAGTTGCACAGTGCCTCCTGCAAAGCAATAAAACATCAGCATGCCAGAACATACGTAATGCCACTTCTACAGAAATCTGAGACCCAAAATTGGGTGACACCGAAACACGACAGAACCTAGTGAAGTGACAGTCTATTCTGATTTAAAAAACACAACAGTTCATAAAGAGTTAAATAACGTATTTTAAAGCAATAGTATATGCAATCATGACCTCCCTCGCTTATTTTCCAAGGTCTGCATTCAGGTATTTCAGCAGTCACACTCACTACAAGCAACTCTAGACTTGCAGGAAGGGTTTGAGACTGTGGTTCTGTCTAAACTGATCCCTGAGCCTCAACCGCTTTACCTCATAACAGTTATGACACTACCTAAACATCTAAACCTGGGAATCTGTGACATAATGCGTCTGATTAAAAAAACCCTAAAACTATTTCCTAACTCCAGTATTTGTCATTTTTAGGTCTTACATATTAGGCTATCATTCTGTGATACTTTGGATAAACAATTTATATTTTTTTAAGCTGCTTGCCCAGAACATCAGGAAATTTCTGAAACAGTATTTTCATTTCCTTCTAAGCTGATTAAAACTCCAGGTAAATATCTTGCCCAGAACCTATTCTTGTATAACAAGTTAGGCATTAAGCTGCTTAAACACGCCAAGCAATATCATAAGATGTTTAATTTTTTCAACACCAAAATTTCCATGGAAGCATATATGTTCTCTACCAGGTAGATTCTCAGAAGGAACTGATCCATGCTTATCTGAAATGTCTCAGTTTAATATAAGACATTTGAATTATTTCAAAGTTCTAGGGCATAATCTTATGCAGCTGTTGCATTTGGTTATGCTGTAGTAGATCATTTAATTCTTTTTATGGTCTGACAGCACATATATAGACACAGAACTAACACATAAGCATAAGTGTTCAAAATGAACACAAATTATATTAAAAGAAATGTGGAAAGCAGACTGCAGCAGAATACATGGTCAGAAAGTGGGCTGCATTGCAAAATGTTTGGTTTTGAAAGATTCATTTAAGTTTTAATGTATTTCAGGGGAAAAATGTGCTGCTGTGGGGAAAACCCCCAGCCATTCATTATTTAAGTAACTGTATAGGGTCTTTAAAAACTACCAAGAACTGAAGTGTTATTCACCTTTTTTGGACTACGAAGTAGCTATTATATACTGTGAAAATAGTAAAATACTGGACTTTTACTATAGCTTCATCCTTAACCATATGCCATGAAGTCACTTTCCCTGCATCTGCAAACACTGAACATAAAATATTGAAAAATAATTTAGGAGATGTGAAGAGGTTTCAAGCTTCAGACATTTAGCTTAGCTCATCTTTGTCAAGTTAGAAACCACACGCAGGCCTGTTTCCCATGTGTTTACCATAATTCATGTGAAAATTTAATCTAATGAACCTCCAACTACACTGTTCAAGTGATTAATATTTTAAATGTCTGAAATTACCAAAGAAAAATACACAATTAGCTCTGGAGAAAAGTGATACTTTTTCCTACTTTTTTTTTTTAAAAACAGAAGTTACACTTTCACCAGAGAAATATTAACAAAACTCTTAACCAAGTTTTGTTTCTGGCAAAAAAATATTTACTACTAGACACCAAAATACTTATTACTACATACTAACAGTGAAACATACAGAAATGAGTTTTTAAATATTAACATTCTCAAACTTTTATGTATTCCCTCCATTTACGTAGGGTAAAAAATGATTTTCAGTATGTGTCAAAAAGCAAGTGTTTTCTTCCCCTCCCAGAAGCAGGGCTTGCAATACAACTGTCAGCCATTTCATCAAGATTCCTAGATATAATTCCTGACTGCATGTACAGCATGGTTTGAAGTTTGTAACCACTGCTCTTAGTGAAGCCAAAATAAAAAGACTTGATATGTGTACTCTGAGGTTGAGCAGACATCACTTGCAGCAATAATACTAAAGCCAGTAACAGAACTGGGAGAAGTGACCTGACACAAAAGTCACCTTATCATTTGTAAATGTGAATGTAAAGGAAGCAGCACTGGTCTGCTTCTCCTTCAGGGTGACTGTTTCAGGATTGCCAAATGCACTTAAACTTGGCAGGAACAGCATGAAAATTATTAACCTTCTCTGGTTTTACTTTATTTCTCTTCATAACTATACAAAGGCCACTGTACAAGGCCTTGTACAACCACTAATAGTAGTCTGGAAAGGAAAGCCAGATCAACAGCTGAGATAAGAAGGAAGAGTGATCTGCTTGACAAAGCAAATAAAACATGAAAGATGAGGTTTTTTTCCCCTGATTTAAGTGCTACCTTTGTTTATAATATCAAATATTTTTAAAAATAAAGTTAAAAAACCAGGTGTCTCAAAGCATTCTTCGATCTTTATCACTGTATTTTAATTCTTTACACAAAGTTAAAAAGAAATACATTATTTTCTTTGAAAGGTGAATGAAACACTTCAGTATGGTATTTATATTGAAAACACACCTGATAACTGGATAAAAATGTTCTCAAAGATACAAAAATAGCGTGACAACAATTTTAAATGTTTATCTCAAAAGGACACAAATGCAGAACAGCGTTATAGGGTTTCCTTACAAATTTAAAGTTACTTGAATATGTAATTTTCAATGTTTGAGACAACTATGTTATGCTAATCTCCTGCCTAACACTAACGTCCAAAAATAGCGTTCGATATGTCTGTATTTTTCAAGTCTACTATATCTGTGTATATATACATTTGAAAAATGCATGTGTGTATATATGAATAGGTATGTATATAGTATTTAACAAATTATACATCGATATATACATATATAAAACTAAAAGAGGACCAGAAAGGCTTATATAATCCAAATTCCAAAATTTCTATAAATATTTTTGAAAATACTATCAGCCGTCACTCTGTCTCCCTACTTGCCTTCTATGAAGATATTCTGCAAGCACTCTGTATGTCCTATAACCTTATGCCTTTAACTGCAGTGAGTACAGTCAAATTTGTAATGAAAGCATAACACATAATCCAAGCAGAACATTGTTTCTGAACATTTATCCATTGCAACAACTTTTCTACTAAATCCAATACCTAAATTTTAAGGTTTGCTGCTCAAAATAGAAAGCTATTCTTTGAAGTTAATCGAATGGAACCTAACTGCAACCAACAGATTCCAAAGACTTGTCTACATACATGTAAGCATGGCAAACCCATAATTTTAGGTAGTTGAAGCAGTACAGAAGCCTTAGTTATGGCTTTAATTTAATTATTTTATCTTCTATCTGTTCAATAGTCTCTTCTGACAGTCATCATACTTGCTTCAAAATGAAGATATTTAAATGGACTTTGGGTGTACTATTGTTCCTGCTGTTGTCTATCGGGCGCTGTACAGAACAATCTACGCCTAATAAAACATCCCAATGGAGGCACCCTCGTTCAGCAGACGGTGGAGAGGAAGGGAAGAAATGTGGTTACACATTCTTGGTCCCAGAACAAAAAATCACAGGGCCAATTTGCGTGAATACTAATGGACCAGGTACTGGTAACAGAAAAGACGAAGTCACAAGAATGGACATAGAGAACTTGAAGGATGTCCTGTCCAAGCAAAAGCGGGAGATTGACATTTTGCAATTGGTAGTGGATGTGGATGGAAACATTGTGAATGAAGTAAAATTACTGAGGAAAGAAAGTCGTAACATGAACTCTCGGGTCACCCAACTCTATATGCAACTCTTGCATGAGATAATTAGAAAGCGTGATAACTCACTTGAGCTTTCCCAACTGGAAAACAAAGTCCTTAATGTTACAACAGAAATGTTGAAGATGGCAACAAAATACAAGGAGCTTGAAGTGAAATATGCAGCCCTAACTGATCTTGTAAATAATCAGTCTGTGACTATCTCACTGCTGGAAGAGCAGTGCTTGAGAATCTTCTCACGACAGGACACCCATGGGTCTCCACCTCTTGTTCAAGTCGTGCCACAGCACATTCCTAACAGCCAGCCATACACTCCCGTTCTTCTGGGAGGTAATGAGATACAACGAGACCCGGGTTACCCTAGAGACAGAGATGTAAGGCCACCACCTGATCCAGCTACTTCTCCTACAAAGAGTCCTTTCAGAGTACCACCACTGGCTTTAATTAATGAGGGTGAGTTGCCTATCACTATTTATCTAACATGAGATTACTCTATTTCAGAGGCAAACTGTCCTGGCTATAGAAATAGAATGAAGAATTTAAAGTATCTGGTACAGATACTTGCTCCTGATTCTGCCCCCCACCCCACTCCCACCCCCCTCCTGCCCAGAAAGCTTTAGTTTGCCAAATAGTCTAATTCTTAAGCTATAGCTGCATAAGATGAATTTGTTGAAATAGTTGATACTAAGAAATTCAATCTGAAGTATTTATGCCTTTGAATCACAAAGTATTGGGGTTTCTGTCTCCAGCTGGGTTTGAGTTATGGGAATGAAAATTCAGTATTAGCATATATTTTCTAGTATTTAGCCCTGTTTCTTTGAAGATGCCTACTAGCTACATGTTACAGTAACCAGCAATGGTGAATAAGAGAAGCTAATTCTTCTTAAATAAATGAAGTAATTTTAAGTAGTTGTCCTTTACACTTACACATACACATTTGCCAGAAGTTAATCCTGCTAGAAGAATTTTATTCCTTCTATTCTGAACTGCTTTAAAGTGAACATCTAAATCCACCAACACAGTCGTGCAATAAGTCTCTGAGTGTTTGGTTGAAGTATTCAAGAGAGTAAGATAAGTTTGAAAGGATAATTGAATCAAGGCTGGATCCAATTAGATGCACTCAGCTTTGAAAATTTAAAATGAGTGACTACATTCCCAGTAATTTGATGTTGGTAGGGAATGGCAAGTTAAACTAATACCATAAATATTATGAAAATACATTCAGGAGACTGTATCACATCTTCAGTGGTTACATTCTTCAGGTCATTAGATAAATTCATTTATCACTAGAAACAAAACTAGTGACAAGAAAATTAACTACCTCTGAGCTGCCCAGAATTCTATTATGATTCTCACTTTATTAAAATTTTGACAGAATTGCGATAAAAAAAAATTTAAGGATTTGGAAAAACAAGTTTCTCAGACATCCATTCAAGCGCTTGCTCTTGGCTTCTGTTAGCTTGCACAGAAAAAAGGTTTGGTTGGGGTTTTTTTTGCTTTCAAATTGCCTTTAGTCACAGTTGGAAGTTCAACTTAGTTCCTAAGATGAAGACAAACATTTATTTGTGACTGTTCTACAGCATTACAAAAAAAAATAACTGCTGATGTAAAGAACAACTATTTTTATTCAGGGTCTGCAGAAAATTCAGGCACAAGCCCAAGTAAAATGCCAGATGTCATGAGAATTTAAATCGCACATCATGACACAAAGGAAAGAGCTAATATAAAAGCATTATGTTAATGTCTGGTCAGACAGCAAAAGTATAATTCTAAAAAACGGTGAATTCCTGTTTCCCAGAAAACCCATGCTTCAAGGTTTTGTTATAAATGCATCTTTTTCTCTCTCAATATATGCCTGCTGTACATACAAAATGAAGCAACAGCACTAAATGTTTTCCTCTAAATTATCTACCATGGTTTTCACTAGCCCCTTTACCCCTAAAAGTTCAGAATTTGAATCCATTGTGGGCAAGGGGGCCCACATAAATATTAGGAAATTTATTTTAACATTATTCAATTTCCTTTATTTAATACTAGATTCTTGGGTTTGAAGTTTAAGTGTTTCTTGCAGTGCCTTGGGATAATGAGGGTTGAGAATTGCTACAGCTGATAGAGCATCAATCATCAAAAACAAAACTTCTAAATTGCAACAGAATGCCGTTATTATCTCTGATTTTTTAAATTAAGGTAAGCATATTTAATGGTGCACGGAACCAAAATTGTCTATGTCATAGAAAAATGACCTTTCCAGTTAAAAGATTATGACTATTTATACTGTATAAAGATGTCAAAAAAGACCAATGAAAACCAAACAGTCCCATCAAAGACTTGGTTATGACAGACTAAACAACTGGACAAACAAGTAGGAGCTTTCTCCTACTATATCTGAAGATGTTGTACCTAGCAAATACTTGCATGCAGCAGAAGTTCACAGAAGAGTCAACATGCATCTTAATATTGTGGGTGGAGAGTAAAACTCAAAATATATGGGGAACTGAAGGATGAGATCTTATTTTCTGAAGAGTATTTTAGTCAATTTGCATACAAATGGCCCTAAAAATTGAGGAAGAATAATGTTCCTGCGAATTACAGTTTTCACTATTATCTTAATCCTTGGAATAGTAACTAGTGTCCCCAAATTTTATTGCCACTATGTTGCAAAAAGTAACTTCAAGTAGAAAGAGCACTTGAAAATTACACCCACCCACCCCCACCCACTCTGCTGCTAATACCACTCAGTTAACAATATGGCCCTAAAAATTGAGGAAGAATAATGTTCCTGCGAATTACAGTTTTCACTATTATCTTAATCCTTGGAATAGTGTCTAGTGTCCCCAAATTTTATTGCCACTATGTTGCAAAAAGTAGTAGAAAGAGCACTTGAAAATTACACCCACCCCCCACCCACTCTGCTGCTAATACCACTCAGTTAACAATGTAACTTTTTTTTTTTAACAGTACCACTCAGTTAACAATGTAACTTTTTTTTTTTTTAATAGATCCCCAATTTTATTTTGGAATTTTCCTCTACTATTTCCCAAAAAATCCTCTATATGAAGCTTACACAAGCACAGCTTCTGTATCATCCACTTAAGATAACATTTGGCACCTTAAATAGGATTCAGCCATCATTTTATTAAGCTTCCAACTTAAAATATTTAATCGCTTTCCTTCTCTACTACATCTAATTTACAATAGAAAGGATCTGTACTAAATCGTCAGTCTAACACACAATTTTAGAAGTGAAATACTTAACAGATCATCTCCTCAGAGTATTTCTAACTTATAACTAATTGTCTCAGCAACTTAGCGTAAACAGACTGTTACAAAAGACTAGATATGCATGAGAGATGATACGGAGCCAGAGAGTCTCCACTCACACCAGCACTGTGGAGAGTATTACACTGTTTCACAAATCTCAGCATTTCCACTGACCACAAAATGGATCAGTTCTTATATCCATGAACTTAAGCTAATTACATATAACAAAGAATTTACTTCTGAAAAAGGATTCAAGGCTATACACCAAAAGTTATGCGATTTGTTGGATTTCCTTACACTAAGAGCAGAACTCTGTTACATCTGCTACAACATTAGGTTATGATAAGCACATAGACAAATCTGAGCATCAAAAAGCAGACAAGTTGTATCCTGTGACCTTAATGCCAGCTGAATTTCAGAAGTGATCAAAGTGTATTACATAAACAGACTAGTACAGTTCTGTCTGCCTTAAAAGTTACTTAAAATCACTCCAAACATCTGCTTGGGTCTCTCATGGAAAAATGAGTCCTCAACTCCTCCTCCAGTGGAAATCATGTGAAATAATATATAGCAGATTTAAACTGAGCTATTCTTAATATTCAATTAGTATTATAGAAAAACCTACTTGTCCGTTTATACACTTTTTCTAATACGATAATTGCTTTACAATAGTACTTCTAGAACAATGTCCCTGTTGGTTATACAGCACCCAAATTTACTTTAGACAGTTCAAGGAAAGGGAATGAGATCCAGCTTAGCCCAGGAAATTGTCTATCCACTGGACAAATTTTGCAATGTGCACAATCTACGTGGAAATTTTAATTGTGAATAAGAGAAAAAGCACTCTTATACCAAAGCTACAGTATTCTTTCCTAAGCTACTACTGCATGCACTGCAAGAATGACAAAAACATCATAAAATACTGACAGTACAGTATGCAGCAGTACTTACAACAATGGCTCAGTGTCTGCAGCATTCTTGGTAGCACTGTCACAGCCAGAAGCTCCCAGTAGACACCTTCATTACATACACAAGCTTTTTGCACTCTAATTAATATGAAATGCTTTATGGATTTCTTGCTTATTACACACTTATCCAACTGGCAACTACTAGTTTAAGATCTAAAGAAAGAGCAACTTTCAATTTGCTTTTGTCACACAACCTTAATCTGCAATGAAGGCCACTTTCACTCAACCTCTACTTTTGATTAAAGAATAACCTCAACAACTGTCTCCTATGCTTCTTTGCACATTAGCTTCTTCTGTGACTGATGAGTTTTCTCTGAAATTCCAAGCAGATTTGAGAAAATGAGCCTCCTAAAATGAGAGGAAAGCTGTAGGTAATTTACTTTCAGATTTACTGAGTATGAGTTTTCAAATATATTTGGGCATCCACCACTAACTAGCCGTCAGAACAAATCCTGCTTTTCATTAGTAAATAAGCAGTCTCTCTTTAAATCAACTGAAGTAGTGATACATGAACATAAATCCTTTTCTAAAAAGTAGAAAATAAAAATATTACCAAAAACTGAAAGGCAAACTAGGCAAAGTTTTCAGAGAAATGGAAGCTGCATGCTTCTTACAGAATAACTAGATGCTCTTCTGTAAGTAGTATTTGTAAAACCACTATTCACATGGTCTAAAATAGAGCTTTCAAGCAGCACTGTCAACAGCATTTCTGTAGAATCACAGCCCTGAAAACAAGTATGTGAGCCCTTATAGCTGCTCAAAAGTCCTTCTCCACCGCTTGCATATTTTCTTCATCAGTATCCATCTACATGTATCACACCAGGATGACACATGAAACTTAAAAGATTCCTATCCACAGTTAACAGGCTGATCCCAGAACTGGGTAAGTACATAAAGGCAAAAAAGTTATGCAGTTTAAGAATACTCTTTCACTAAATTCAATGTCTGTAGACTTTGGCAGTAAATATTTCTTACAGCAGCTCTCAAACTATTTATGTATTCAGGTGTGTGTGGGGGGGTTGTTTGGGTGTCTCAGGTTTGGTTTGGTTTGTTTTAAACTTCCACCAGCTTCAAATGGGTGCACTAGGACAATGAAGTAAATTGACATCTACCTCTTGTAAAAGTGGTACAGGAGAAAATAGTTAATGAAAATCATAATGCACTTCTTGAATATCAGGAGTCAGAGTATAAATCTTTGACACAGTAGACAAAGTTTAAAAATTGGGTGTTGGTAACTAAAGTCTATTACCTGTTTAGCAAAATGAAGTTTTTGTTTAAAAAATATATATAGGATATTGACATGTTTATTTATATATACACAATTAATCCAGGACAGTAACTTTTTACACTGTTTTCCATGGTAGTTTTACCTTAATTGAATTACTGACTTTGTTACTATTACAAAACATTCTTAAACAATGTGCACTCCATAGCCAAGCCTGAATGCTTATAGTATTTCTTTTCAAAAAGGTCCATTCAAAGACTGCCAACAAGCCAAGGAAGCTGGGCATTCCAACAGCGGGATTTATATGATCAAACCTGAAAATAGTAACGAGCCGATGCAACTATGGTGTGAGAACAGCCTGGACCCTGGAGGATGGGCAGTTATTCAGAAGAGGACAGATGGATCTGTCAACTTTTTCAGGAACTGGGACAGTTACAAGGTAAATTCTGGAATGCAGAAAATCAGCTGCTTCATTTCAGTGCAGCAGTGACATTATCTATTGCAATCAAGGCGATGCGAACATTTCCAATGCAATTCTTCATTGCAAACAGTTGTACTGAATGAAAACACTGAGGAGTTGGAAATAGATACCTGCTAAATTAGACAGTGAAATTAATTTTACAAACAAAGATAATTGAAGAGAGTGGTCATCCCTCAGAGGCAAACATTTCAGTGGGCATGTGCTATTTCACACAATGCATTACTTAACTTTGTATCAGCTAACTTACTGTCTGAAATAGCCTGCATTTGTAATGCACAACACAACTGGGGAGACATGTTATTCTAGACAGTGACTGGGAAGTCATTTATTACAAAGACCTAACTAAACACATGATTTTTATTTACATGCTGAGAACTACAGTAAGTACTTGAAAAGCTTAATTGTCTCCCTTATGAATAAGCAGTCTCAGTCAGTGGAATTATTCATTTAAGCATATTAATAGATTTGCAGGATCAGGGCCTCAACTTAAAAACATTCCTAATAATGAGTTAAAGGAAATAATTTCTACCTTTAAAATTAGGTTAGAAATCTGAAGATGTAGGGCTTGTGAAGGGAAACACATTCTTGTGTGTTATTGTGATATTATGCACCAGCAGGCATAATGCCTAGGATTACAAATGCATGCTGCTTTGGAGTAATTACATGCTAGACAGGAAATTTGAAAATCCATTTGGTTGGGTTTTTAAAATAATAATAATGTACTGACTTCATACATATAGGACACGGGTGTTCCCTGTGGTGCTGCGCTCACTTTAAATGGATCTACAATTGCCACGTGCATTGTATCTGAAGAGAGAACTGAGCCACATTTAACTCAATCAGTCATCTAAAAATCATATATACAAAGGAAATGACAAAAGATTACTATAAGGATTTTCACGTTTTGCATTTCTGGAATTTAGTGATTCAAATGTTAATCATTCCTTAGTAGCAGTTATTCAAGGTCTTTACTTCTCAGAAAAATAGGTGGTTGGTTTGGTTTTTTTTAATGTTACAAGGCAGTTATGGAGTGCTTTATAAAGTAACCATAAACATTTTGAACATAATACAAATAAAATGTAGAAGAGTGTATAACTGGTGTCTAATAATGGCTCAAGCTTGGGCAAATTTGCCCCCAAGAGATTTCTCATTAAATTGCAGTGGCTGAAGATGGTATTCCTATTACCTAACTTCAGGTACTTGAAGGTGCACCTCTGTGACTGGCTTTAAACCACTGACAACAGACACGTCTCCCATGCCCACATTTCTACTTCTTTCCCGATCTCTGTGCAGCTGCACAGCTACAATGTTGACGCGAGGGAAGTATTGCAAATGTGGCCATGAGCCAGGAGAAAAGCACTGCTACCATTTTTGGCAGTAGCATGATGCTAGATCAACTTAAGCCACTTGTGAAACTGCAGCTTGAGTTAGGAGCCTACACTGTTTATCTACTGGAGAGAGACTTCCCCAGAAAGTGATTTGAAGCAGGAAATCAATTGTAGGTCCTACATAATCAGCAGCCTGAGAAGGAGGTTAGGAAGACCTCAGAAACTAGGAAGCGTAACAGATAGCTATGGTGGGTGACATACCTACCTTAGCTGCAACACCAAACATTAACAACACTGGTTTACTTAGGGACAGGAGACAGCAGATATGAAATATCACTTCACAGCTACTGTACCAGTAGTCTGTGATTTGAAAGGGAAGACGTCTTTATATTTCGTTTCTAATAAATCTAGTAAAGAGCACAGGTGAATTATGTGATTAAATTTACAGTAAATAACAACACTAGTTGCATTAAAAAGGCAACAAAAAGTTATCTACCTTGAACACTGAGACTGTTGATCCATAAATAGCTTTTCCAACCTGGAAATATACCCCCTTAAATTTCATCACTCATACATTCTTACAGATTCCCTCGGCTTTGTCAAGAAATACATTGTTTCAATTTCCCTATTCTCTCTCCCTTTATCTTAAAAAGAAGAGGACATCACAGAAAACAGATAGTTTTGCCACCTTTACTGATTCTGGTAGTACCTCATGCAGAGAGCAGTCCAACTGAGACCAAGTGCAGCAAAATAAAGCATTTAAATGCATGGGTTGAGCAGTCATTCAGAAGCTTAAAGGCCTTCAGTACCCAGGTTCCACTGGTTTATGATACTGCTACTGATGAGCATTTTGACAAAGAAGAAAAACTAAGCTAACATCACCTGATCTTCTTTTGTACAGAAAGGATTTGGAAACATTGATGGAGAGTACTGGCTGGGACTAGAAAATATTTACATGCTTACCAATCAGGATAATTACAGACTGTTGATTGAGTTAGAGGACTGGAGCAATAAGAAAGTCTATGCAGAATACAGCAGTTTCCGCCTGGAGCCCGAAAGCGAATTCTACAGGCTACGCTTAGGAACTTACCAAGGAAATGCAGGCGATTCCATGATATGGCATAACGGAAAGCAATTTACAACATTGGACAGAGACAGGGATATGTATTCAGGTAAGGAAACTAGTATGTATGTGAAAAGTGAATACAGTAGATTCCATTAGTGATACTACCTTTCAAAAAAGACTATAGTACAAAAAAAGTAAATTCTGATAAAACAACTCTATTGAAAGATGCTTCAAACTGATAATGATAAAAATCACGATGCGGAAAGCAATTTACAACATTGGACAGAGACAGGGATATGTATTCAGGTAAGGAAACTAGTATGTATGTGAAAAGTGAATACAGTAGATTCCATTAGTGATACTACCTTTCAAAAAAGACTATAGTACAAAAAAAGTAAATTCTGATAAAACAACTCTATTGAAAGATGCTTCAAACTGATAATGATAAAAATCACGATGATAATAATGATGATAATAATAATGATAAAAATCAGGGCCCCCTTTCAGCCCCTGCACCATTCAGAAATTCAAATTCTATTACCCTCATTGCAGGCACACTTCAGCAAGCTTCGTATTTAGCTCAATGACATCCTTATCACTTGCATGTGACTCTGCAGTCAGAATACCTGTCCAGGTGATCTCTCAGAGTAGTACTGTGGCCACATAACAATCATCACCATGAACTAAAGCCTCTGAACAGCATGAAAGGAACTGCAATTGTGCACAGGCTTAGTTATGTACCAATACTTGAGAAACAGGCAGATCACCTTGTTTCATTATCCTTAAAGGACACTTTTTGTTCATTTCCATGCTCTTACTCCAGCTTTCCCCTTAAAGCCTTAGCAATAAAAGAAAGGTTGGGGAGTGTAATACTTCAACTGCTTTTTCTCAGCTGTCAACAACCATAAAGCTGGACAAATCTTGCAAACTCTTAAACAAGCCTGTAACAGTAAATACACAAGTTACAAGCAACTCTTTGTGGAACTGTGGCCCTGCATGCTGCTTGGGACTGTATCAACTCACATTGCTTCCACTGAAGTATTTCTAAACAGTACATAATCCGAGTTCCTTGAATGTTAGCTCATGGACAATCACTGCTGGTAGTCTGAGAAGAGCTGATCTCCTCAGTTTTCAGCTGTCACACTAAATACCGTGTTAATCGTCACCCCTCCAGGCAACGGTTGCTGTTACAACAGAATTTTTAATTTAGGTAGAAGCAGCAACTGATATGACCACAACAGGCTATGAAGCACTTAAAAGTTCCCTCTAAGAGTAAGCCAGAATATGAAAGCATTTGCTAATCTCCATTTCTCCTCTGTTTCACAGGAAACTGTGCTCACTTTCACAAAGGCGGCTGGTGGTACAACGCATGTGCCCATTCTAACCTTAACGGGGTGTGGTACAGAGGAGGTCACTACAGGAGCAAGTATCAGGATGGAATATTTTGGGCTGAGTACCGGGGAGGTTCCTACTCCTTGAAAGCAGTTCAAATGATGATCAGACCTATAGACTGAGGAGGAAAATCCCACAGTGCTCAAGTGATCACGTATAAACTTCTCAGTGCTTGAGTTCCAGAAAAATAAAATATTACTTTTTAATCATTATTTTGCACAATCTGCCCCTGCAAAAAGCAGGTCTACAGTTTTCCTGTCTTTTTTTTTCCTGTTGTGTTCCACCCTCCTTTTTTTAGAAACCTTTTCTACTGTGACAGACGGTGTTTTTTTAAACATACATTCACAAAAGCAGACGTTTGTGCTTGCATAGCATATTTATCTTTGTTCAAGTCCAACATACTTTATGTAAACAGTCATTAAAGCTGGTAAAAAATTCCAGTTTTATGACAAGATATAAGCTTTTTCACTTAAAAAGCTTATGCTTTTTCAGGTTAGCTCAACCCTTAAATGTAAATATGTGAAATGACATTGTCTTGCTTTAATGTGAAAATTGATTAGTTATTTAACAATTTATTTAAAAATGTTGGTATTACTTTCAATGAAAATCTGACTTCACATTACTGTTTAAGATTTTCTTCAAGAAGCTACACAAAAAATTGAAAACATTCTAGGCTTTGCCAGCAGAGAGAGATTTTTGCAAATTCTAGGCTTTGCCAGCAGAGAGAGATTATTGCAACAAATAATTATTTCAAAATGAAGTGGCAAATTAAACATAAAATACAAAATTTCTTAGTGGTGTAGAGAATTCCTTAAGATCTGCATATCCTACCTTCTGTAAAACACTTAGGCAAAATGTTCCTAACGTAAGAAAAATAATTGTATGAAATGATTGATAAACTCAAGACAACCAAATTGCTCAGTTGGTTTTTTTTTTTTTTACTTTCTACCTCCATATTCAAACATCCGAATTAAACAAAAATATTTCTTGATACTTTGAACTTAAATGACAAAAGGAAAAGTCCTGATATTAAGGTCATGATTTGACACTTGGAGAACCCTCTCCTGCTCCAATTAGGAGTGATGGGGTCTGAACAAGTGATCACACATACTAATTTAGAGAAGCACCAAGCCTCTGAATATTTTAAAAGTTTTCCTCCAACACGGCTTTCTGCTGACATAGTAAACCCAAGATTAGAAATCAGCTCTGAGTGTATTCTTCCTGCCACCCCAAACTTGGACTGCTCTTATGACATACACATTTCCGTTCCCCTACATGCATACAACTCTGATATTGTCTAGATTAAATTTTTAAACTTCTGGATATCTGACTTCCACTGGAATTAATATGTAATTTAAGAAATTAATTAGAAAATACTTTTCCAACCTTTAACAAATGCCATAAAACATACTGCATCAAAACAAGATCCTTCCAAAACCGGAAACAACAAAGTGTTCACTTTAGGTACCAGAGTCTCCAAAACTAAAGCTTTCTTCCTAGTATATAAAATTATTTAATAATTGTACTTAGCCACACATTACTTAACTTAATTTGATATTACACAAAAACTAAATATGCTGTTCTGAGCTGTAACTGATGTGTTTGTTTGGCGCCTCATATGTCCCTTCAGAATTTTAAGGAACTTTGCCCCTATTTAACATAAGAAACCCTCATAGCTAGAAGAATAATCTAATATTAATATTATATTAGTCAATACCAATTGCTATGCAAAACCTCATTTGTGGTTCAAAGGAGAGAAAATAGCATTTTGCTTTCAAAACACATTCTCTGGAGTAGATAAAGCTTCATTGATAATATATGGCTGCAAGGGTTGTGGTTAAATCTTTGGTCAGAGATCAAAGCCAACAAGTTTCAACAATATTTAATTCCATCAATTTTAATTGACACAAATGTTTAGGATTATAATTCTGAAATTGTTCTTCATATAAGGAATATTTGTTTGTTAGAAATACCATACAGACCTCATTGATTGAGTGTTCTATAAAAGGCTTTTTAATTGCAAACGCTTAAAATTCAGACTATTTATAGGTTATTCTTTTTTTCTATGGTAGCTGGATAGAAGAGCAGTTCAGGTGAATTTAAAAGCTGAAAATGCCCTCCAAAACGTTCCTTTAATGAACACTTCTGATAGCTTTAGTTCATTCAACCAACAGATTTCCTCTCCTTGGGAAGAGATCTTACTTTACCACAAGAATCTCTTGCCTGCTACAAAAACAGTGTTTATTTATTCAGTGCAGTCAGTGAAAGGTGTACTTTGCAGAAACCCCTAAGTAAAATTAGCTTGCTCTCTGCCTTTAAATTAAATCTTATATATTAGACATCTAAAAAATGAGTCTTCCCCAATTTAAAGCTGCAGGATGACATCAACTAAACATTATTACAAAATATACCCAGAAAGCTCAGACTGTACAAATGCTGTGCTCTGAAAGGAAAAACTTAAATTTAATTTGCCGATTTAAGATTAAGAGGAGGTAAAGCATTGCATCTCTTTTTGAGGTTGCTTCATACTCTATACAATAATTTACTACTTTCAAATGCTTGTAACTATCAGTTCTTAGCTTTTGGGTTGAATTTTCTAAGCAGGGTAAATGACTAAAAGTTCAATGTTTTCTCTCACACTTTTTTTAGAAAAGTTTTTCAAAAGAGGCTGTAGCATCCCTCAAGCTTATTGCACTGGACATTCAGAAGCTATCTGTGAAGGATATAGCTTTCACCATTCCTGTACTGTCAGTCCAAATTTAACCAAGCAGACCTTGCAAAAGTTTAACCTATACTAAACCTGAAACACGGTTTTCACATATATTTCCAAAGTCTATTGCAAGCATTATCACTGAAGTAGCTAAATATCCATCAGATGAATACTTCAATAACCTGTTTTCAGCTTTCCCGTTTCTGGATATAATTCCTGAAAGACAGCCATAAGAAAATATTTCACAAGGTAGTACTGCTTAGTTTAATAAAAATCTTACTTCTCAAGATATGGCTCAATTGTTTCATTGTGCAACCTCAAACTCCATGATAAGACTCCATTTGAGAATGGGTTTTTGTTCTAAGGCAAAATATAACATCACACATACAGCTCCCATTCGTTTTGGCTACTTTAGTTGGCTGGGTGATGCAACAGTGATGACACATCCCACATCGTGTAATGAGGACCTAATGCTGAACATTTTTATTGGTGTTGCACGGCTCTTAGCATTCACATTTAAGTTAGCGAGTCCACAGTGACGATGTGCTGCTCTCACTTGCATTTCTAGAATTCTGGAATCGCATCACACTTATTACTGCAGGAACTGAAAAATATTTTTATTTTTTCCCCCTAGTTAAATGTGGAAGGACATCTTTATCTTGTCCACAGTGAGTGAGCTGTGGTAGTAAGAAAATAATCTGTACTTCTGTGGTTCCATTCCCATTGCAAAGACTACACAAAAAAAGCATTTAAGCTTTATCCTATAATGTTAAGATGGTCATGAAAAAAACCTCCACACCCACATTTGATATTTGGCTGCATGAGGGTAAACCTAGTAACCTTTGAAGGGTAAAACATTCATCTTTGAAATTGCAGCTGAAATTCCTTTATATGCTCACTTTCCCTATGACTTCCAAACAGGTCCTTCACAACCAGTGCCAGTATTTCCCCAGAGGGGATCTCCAGTGGCAAATGTAATGGTGTGGCAGGCTTGACTCTCTGCACTCTTCTAAGGAGCATTTTAGGGGAGCATGGCAACTGTGGGATCTTTGCACCAACAGTGAAGAGAGCCCCGCCTCAGACCTCCTGTTTCCGTGAGAGGAAATGGACCTTATGATTAATCCCCCTCCCTGGTACATGCCATAATCACTATTTCAAACAGCAGACTTTTAGGTAGACTTTTGTACACATTTTAAACCAGGAGCAGCACTACTCCTGTACATTATTTTATACCAGAAGTAACAGCAGAAAAAGATCCTTTCAGGAATTATAACCTATAGCTGGTAAGCTTAAAACAGTAAGTCAACTTAAGTTACTTCTGCTCTGTATGAGTAAAAATGCCTTGGGAAGGAAATTTTAGAAATAATACTCCTGCAAATCTACTCAGGTCTTACTGGAGATTAACGCTTTGATCAAATGAGAAAAATTGGACACAACAGCAAGGTGGATCCAGCTTTACCATGACTGTAGTTTCAAGGCAATTTTGTTCTTTTTGCCATATATTTAAACTTACAAAATTAATTTTAGAGGGAGTGCACCAGTGGGCATTTGCTATTCCTTCGGAGAATTAAAAAAGGCTTGAGGACATTCTTCATGTCATTGGTAAGAATTGGTATTATATGAAACCAGGTGACAACACATTCTTTAACTACAGCAGCTCAGAGCATTTCTTTCTTTCTAAGCAGAAAAGAAATATGCATTTCACTTCAACAAACTATTAAGTCAAGCCCAAAGCTTATTCTAACGCAAAAATTAGACAAGAGGTTGTTAATGTATCGAGGAAAACATCTGTAACTGAACAAAACTTAAAACATTGTTTTCCAACATTTCACCTTTTTTTTTTTTAAAATATAACACTTGCCCGTAATAAGGCAGTATTTTTAAAGTGTCAGACAAATACACCAAAGCATAAAGATTTCTGTGTACAGCAGTAAGTATTAGAAGACCACAATGGCAAGGGTCAGAGTATCGTGAGATTTTAAAAAAATCTGACAGCAGGTTGGCTTGGGACTTCTACGATCAGCAAGAAAACAATTTGAGCCTGGCTTCATGTTTCATAAATCATGGCATATAGCTAAAAAGCATCTGGAAAGCTAGAAACTGCATTTCAGAACCATATACAGTGTGTATATACTAAATGTGTACACATGATGGGAAAGCTACAAAATGACATGTTTAATTACATTACATTATGCTTGGCTGCTTCTTTGCCCCTTTTAATTCAGGCCTAGTTTTAATAGCTATGTCAACAAACTGGGTAGCATGTGATAGTATGCCACACCAGCAATTTTCACACCTGCACTTCAGACAAAATACACTCATGCTGATTCTTCCATTCTAGACACAAACAATTATCAATATCTGAATACTTGAAAATACAGGAAATTAACAGCTGTTAAGATCACGTTGGAACTGATGGATGTTTCTGGGAGGGATGTAACAGGGAAGTAAAAAATGAAGACAGAATGAGGAACTCTATAGGACTACTTGTCATTAAAATTATTATCGGTTCTCCACAGCAAAGTATTTTTTTCTATTTAAGTATAAAGCATGTAAAATTCAATCAATTTAAGTATAAAGCATGTAAAATTCAATCAATTTTGCCAAACTTGAATATATGTATTTTAGAGGCATCAGTCTAGACTTTAACATCAATGATGGTATTGTCACTCATATCAAGGTATGAAACGACTGAAATAACATTGCGATGGACACATAGATCACAGCATAAAGACGACTGTCAACTTATTAATCTTGAAAAAATTAATAGCCCAGCTGAGTAAAGGAAGTATCAAACTTCAGGAACAAAGAGATTACAGTTTAATAAGCGTTAGTGACCACAGGAGGTCACCTTGAATTTAGGTGTAAGAGCAACTCATATCTGCAAAAATATCAACTATTTTTTCTGGAAAAGAAAAAATTGAGTAAACATTTCCTTAA